GGAGCGGTTTTAGTGACAGGCGCCCCTTCGGCCAAGTGTGACCCACGTGGCAGCTAGTGCAGTACGTAATCCCAGCACCTCCTGCAGCCGCTTGCCTGACGAAATCATGCTGAGACACAGGCCCCGCATTTCAGACTCCACCCTGAAACAGCAGTCATCTTGTCATTGTAATCACTGTGCTTGTGCTCACCTGGAAAGGGTGACTTTTGGGGAAAAAAGATTTTGGCGGTGAGATGGACCTTGAGGAATAATTTTGCCTCCGTGCAAGCTGTAGATTTGTAAATATTTTCATATTGACGTGAATATTTCATACGTCTACAGATTGAATATAATATTTGTATCCATGGGGCACGCTGCCCCTCACTCTTGCTCTGTGTGCTGTGTTTACTGAGGCTCTGATTCCCAGCTGTAGCCTGGCGGTGCTGAGCCCTGACCATGCACAGTGTGTGGAAGACCCCATTCTAGAGCTGATGGGCTGTGCCCCCCCTGCAGGTAAGAAGGAGGAGGTGTGGGTGATCGATGACCTCATCATTGATGGCGGAGCCCTGCGCACCCTCCAACTCCTATCAGACAGTTTCGAGGGGGGGCCCCGTGAAGACAGCTGGCTCTTCTACCCGGGGGGCAACATCGGGCTCTACTGTCCCTACCTGAAGGGGGCGCTGTGAGTAGCCGCTTCTTCAGCGATGTGCGTGGTGCACTTGGCCAGAACTGCTCAGCGGTGGGAGCTCTCTGTGCTTGTGCGCCCAGCTCGTCGCCGTGCCTGTTTAAAGAGAAACTGCAGTGCTATTTTCAGGTTTCAGGGTTAGAAAGAATCAGCATTGATGGTTACGTTTCAAACCACAATAACAGTCAAATGTGCACAGTAACTTGTAAAACCTTCAATTTACACCAGAAGATAGTGGAAATTTCCAGGTATGCTCAGCGCCATGTTCTGTGATTCAGAACAAAACTTCTGTTGATGTGTTGCGGCCCTATTACATGGTAAACAAGCCAGGTTGTGAATTCAACTCTTTTAATCCAACAGAAATATTGCCTTCGATTTTGAAATAGTTTTGCCAGCAAATACTACTTACTTGGTAACTCTGCATGCAGATCACATTGGAATTTCTGCTGTGAAATGTCTGCTTCACAAACCTATATTTATGCACTTGTACTGTACATCTCATTACATTATTCATTAGGGAGACTAGTGAGCAGGAAGGGCCGCTTCACGGCACAATTCGTGGGAACTCGAATGCGAGTTGCGTCAACATGGTGACTTGCAATGCTTTTCCAAAGTTCACGAGTTTGTGCTTAATTCGAAATTTCTCTTTTTTTTTCTGTAGCGTCGAGGAATTGATTTTGTTACCGAGATGTACTGTATTAACCGGTCTGAGAGATTGGGACTGCACTTCCCGTTTCACTCAGTGCCATGCGTACATTTATCTCCTGGCTGTGTGTGTGTGTGTGTGTGTGTGTGTGTGTGTGTGTGTGTGTGTGTGTGTGTGGAACTCGGCGCCGAGCGCACACGTAACCCTCTGTTCGGTCTGTGCGCTGCAGGGAGGACGAGTCGGCCATGGTGTTTGTGTCCAGCGAGGCGGGAGAGCACTCCATCACCACCCAGGAGATTGACGTCAATGAAAACACCATTGTCCAGTTCGAGGTACTATTGCCAGCCTCTCTCCCCCTCGCCTGCGGCGTCAGGGAGGGCAGAAGAGAGGGAGAGGAGGGTGATAGGAATTTACCAGAATTTTGGGATTGAGGGAAATATGTGTTTTATTTTTATTTTTGTAAGCATTGTGGGAGGAAAGCACTTTCCCCCACCCCGGGGCTCCAGTGTGTCAGGGGTCACTAGATGAAGCAGGCGGCAGGCTCTGCGCAGCTGCAGTGGTGATCTAGATATCCGCCAGATCTGCATGGACACCAGATGGCTCACATGACCGTGTGGGATATGAATGACAGGGATCGGGGGAACAGCGAGCTGGGACAGTACGGATGACCGTGTGGGATATGAA